ATTTGCAGCTTGAATTTCAAATGTATAGTAGAAATTTGTTGAATGGGTGTGTGTGTAATATTGTTGTATACAATATGTTCAGGCTGTGTATAATTGTGGCGTCAGCCAAGTTTGATTGCTGGTGGCCAGATAGCTCAGTTGATAGAGCACCTGACTGGTTCGAATTCTGGTCTGGTCTATCACATTTTTCTCCCTCGTCTGTTACGTTTGGTGTCATAACCATGCCCTGGAAGTGACAAGTAAAAGACCAGGCAGAGAAGAAACTATGTTGGTGTCTTCAGGGACAAAGATCTTTAAGAAGGGTGGAGTGTGGCGGTCAGGCAAGTTCGATCACTGACTAGAAGTATTCAGGCCTGGGTTTGAATCCTAGCCTGGTCCATTGCATTTTTCACTCTTTCTTGTTAAATTTGTTGCTGTGACCCATGCCCTGGAAGTGACAGGTGAAAGACCTGCCAGGGTAGAGCTTTGGTTAGCGTCTTAGAGGGTGAAGACCTTTAAAGAGGGAGGAATGTGGCAATCAGGTAGGTTAAATTGCCAGTGGTCAGATAGCTAAGTTTGCAGGGTAGACAGACATCTTGGCCCAACGACACCTCAGCCCGTCACGTTTGACACCTCGGCCCTGACAGTTCGGCCCAAGAAAATTGACACCTCATCCCATATAATAGACTCCTCAGCCCAAGCAAAATTTTGTGATAGAAAGAATTAATCCAGTGTCTGAAATGATATTATTATAGGTATGATTATTCTTGCTAACGATTAAAGGATTTTCGTAATGAAAAACAAATTGGGAAAGGGGGGTCTATGATAGATGATTGGTTCATTTCTTTTTATAACTATATAACTAAAATCATATAAGTTCTCTCTTGTGGAAAATGCCTAATATTATAAATTATGCTAAGTAATACTAGATTTCAACATACTAGCAATTCTTTCTTACGATTTTATATATTTCTATTATGAGAATTTTATGTTATCTTATCATTTTGCATTGTTTCTCTGACGATTTAACACATTTGAGATAGGTCAATAATAGTGAAAAGAAATGGATTACATTTAAACATTTCTTTTTGTTTGTTTGCTTGTTTGCTTGTTTGCTTGGGAGGTTAATGCGAGAATAAACAGATGCAGCTTTTATGATTTTTTTTTCATCTAGAGTATGGTTGAAACCATTAATCTTGAATTAAAATTTTATATTTCATTGACTGAAAAGCACACATCTAAAGAGGAAACGTAGGGAAAATGGACTCGAGATAGTTTAGCGACATAAATGAATTTATGAATGTACAAGGGACATTTAAAAAGTTCTGTTAACTGTTTGATAAAATGTTAACTTTCGTGAGTGTTTTCTTAGGAAATAAAATTGAAAATATTCAATGGATGTAAATGTACTGTCTCACAATTAAGTCTGCTCGTAATTAACCCCTCATTGTCACCAGTATGACACACACATGAGACTCCAAAGGATGCGCCGCGGCATTTTGTTTGTTTACCAATTAGCACCTTAATCATGTTAATTATACGTCTTCTCATTCCTTGAATATGGTCAAAATGCGCATGGAAGGTTTTTTTATAATCTTAAAAAAAATTGATTGCATATTCGATTAATGTTTTCAATCAATATTATATTTAAGTCGCAAATTGGAAATATATTTCGTAATGAAATTTTGCTTGGGCCGAGGTGTCTTAAATCTTGGGCCGACCTGTTTGAGCCAAGGTATCAATGGGCCGAGGTGTCGTTGGGCCAAGGTGTCTGACATTCGTTTGCAGAGCAGTGATTAAGGGGTCCTGGGTTTGAATTCTAGTCTGGTCTTCACATTTTCACCCTTCCTGCTGCATTATGGAAAAAGGGGGGGGGGGGGTTACTTCATGTTTCATTTATCAAACAAATCCTGACTAAAATCAGGCAGCAACACATCTTAAGCAATAGATGCACCTTTCTTTTTGTGTGTTGCAGACAAAAACATCACAATTTCTTGGTAAATTTTGTAGCCTGCACTTACATCTCATGACTAAGTACTCCCCATCATCTGTGTCCTCACTGTCCTGGCTTAAGTTTTACAAGTAAATCCACTCTCAAGTAACTATAAGCCCTACCTTGATGAGACTTGCATGGATGATGCATCTAGGTATGTACACAACAAAGCATGCTTTAGATACGTACTGCACATGATTTACATTTTCTGGATGACTGAACAGTTTTAAGATTTTGAAGAGAGTCCATTCTAAAGTAACCATAAGTCATACAAAGACCAAATGTCATGAATGTTACATATAGTGAAAACTTTTTGAACATTCATTTGGTGTGAGACTTATAATACCAGGTAGATAAAGAAAATCTTTGATTACCAATGTTAAGTTTTTATAATATTGGGAATTGCTTTTGTTTTCTTCGCTTTTTAATGACGTCCATAAATGTGGGAGGTTTCTGCTGAAGTTTTCAGACAATGGTGATAAAATACATCAAGTCTGAGATACTTCCACTGAATAGATGTGCAGATGAGTGAAAGCTCACTTCACAAGTGGCATTCAACTTTGTGCTTGCTTATAATTGGAAATCCCCTATTTTACCCCACCTTTTCATATGGGCTTTCATAAGGGATAAACAGAACATGTACTAAACAGAGTATACATAATATTTAATATGATATTGAAAACATAAAATTCCTTCACATTTACTTTTTCTTTTCTTTCTCCATTTGCATTTTTCAGATCTTCCACCTTTTTTTTCTTAAGCAGGAGACAGAAAGTCTCTGAATTAGCTTGAAATGTTACTTATTTGTTCCATCTATATTATTATACCCCCTGCAAACGAAGTTTAGGGGGGATATATTGGAATCACCATGTCCGTCTGTCTGTCCGTCTGTCTGTAGACGAGATTTTGTCCAGGCCGTTTCTCGGACACTGTTGCAAGGATTTGTCTGAAAATTTGTACACTTATTATTCACCATATGAAGGTGTGCACCTGGTTTTTTCATCATGATTGGGTAATTTTTCTGCATTTTACAGGTGTTTTTTTTCATTTTTATTGTGTGGTTTTGTCCGGACCTGTTCTCAGAGTCTATTGCATAGATTTGTATGAAAATTTGTATACTCATTATTTACCATATGAAGATGTACACCTGGTATTTTCAACATTATTTGATAATTTTTCTGCATTTTACAGATTTTTTTTTTCATTATTATTGACTTAGTCATTATGGGTTTATAAATGTCTAAGGTTTGAGACGTAGAATCTAGAACATCTGAAGTGTACAAAATTGTGAACTACAGCTTAAAACTACTCATTAAAACTAAAAAAAAAAACATCACCAGGTATTAAAAACAGTTTTTACATTACACAGCAGATAGTGTAAATCCGTTTGTCCCTTGGGAGTAATGAGTGGACATGCATCCAGTTAAAGATTAATTAATGAGTTCAGTGTGGGAAGTTGTTAGGGCATCTCTGATCAAGCAGGTGTTATCTATATCTCCTGGGAATTTGGCAAAAGAATTAAAGATTTCTGTTCTCTAATTCTCTTAATTGTTATTTATTGTCTGTCAAAGTACTGACCAGCCTTTTATTTTTAAAATAAATTTGATATAAAGTTATCAAGATTAATTTGATTTTGTATAATGTATGTTTTTTTTTTCAACAATCAATTTCAGTGTCATGTCCCACAAAGATGAAAGATAGTTGCAATTTATTTTTTCAATGCATTAAAAAACAAAGTAATTACAATGTATTAGTGTTGCTATTTTATTAGGTTGCACCTTACTTTCATTCATTTAAAAAAGTGTAATGAGCAATTATATTTTTACTCTAAATGTTTATAAGAAAATTGTGAATATAACCACTTAGATCCATAAAATATTAGTAATTTGGAACCTTCTCTAAAAAAACCAGCAGGGGGTATTTGTCCCTTTTGGACAGTTCTAGTTATTACTTGATCACCTAAAAGTAGATATGTGTATTCAGTCTTCATGAAAACTTTTCAAATTTACTGGCCAGGAGGACCAGTGAACTTTCTAAATTTACTGGCCCATCAAAAATTTTACTGACCCCCTTAATTTAAATCTAAAAAAATGGATACATAATATGCCAACTTTAGAAACGCCGCCATTTTTTGCAGTGTTTCAGTATGTTGTTTGTAGGATATTCCCTGTTTATCGGTTGTTGCATCCAGGGTTAGTATATGTACCGTAATATGTCCAATACGATACACCAACAAATGCTTGTTCTTTTTATTTAATATATTAATAAAATTTATGCAAGCAAGACAGCTTAAATATATTTTGACTGTGTATGACTTTGAGAATCTACAAGCCCATCGGACTTCTTGAATTTTAATTTTCACTGACCCGACATCAAAATTCACTTGTCTAGGTCTTCGGACCACTGAGTTTTCGTGAAGACTGCGTATTTGGAATTCCCTAGCACTAAATTGATACATATCTTTTTCTTATTATAAGGTCAGACTGTGTGACCATTATTAAGAGAAGTTCCATTGTCCATTTTATTGTTACTCACCTGAATATGTAAATTCAAAATAGTACAGTGTACTGTGAACTCTTACCCATATGTTTCATTACAAGTTGTATGTCTTGTGAGTGCATGTGTCCAGAAAAGCCTCTGAACTCTTTTTTTTTTTGTCCTTTTTTTCCCATGTCCAATTTAAGTCCTCTGATATAAATTTGTGAAAATAGATACAGGTTACTTGTCTTAGGATGTGATTCTATGAATGCAGATGGTATTGAATTTTTACTTTTGTTAAACTTAAGATGTAATTTCTTACAAACTGAATTTATGTTGCACTTAGATTGTTCCTCTTTGTCTAGTTAATGAAAATAGATTTTTAAAAAATTGCTCATATTGGAAAGATCCATCCTTTCAAATAACCAGTACATTAGCTATTTCTTCTTCGCAATATTTTCTTATGGATTTTATATATAAAAAAAGGATATGCAGATATAATATCCCCAATCACCAATTAATGTTGTTATTATTGCTTTTGATTTTAGATCATATAAAGAGAGCTACTAGTATTTGAAGCCAGAAGATGAAACAATACTAATTCAAAGGTAGGTGTAAATTCAAAGAATTCCATCTATTTATTTTCTTTATATAAAGTTTTCTTTTTCATTCATCTGAATAAAAGATTCAACTATGCTTTTCTGAAAGAAATTTGTCCATCTGATAACTTTTCACATTTTTGTGTTCTCCAATACTGTACCATCGGACAAATCATTTTTGGGAAAGTAGATTCAAAGTTCTTTATCGTGATTATTAGGACTGTTCCTTCTACTTAGGAAATTAATTGGTAATGTAAAGACAGTTTGGAGTCATTTAAAAATATTATTAATTTTATTTTTATGCCCCTGCCATAAAATGGCCGGGGCATATAGTGTTACCCTGTTCCGTCATTCCATCATTCTGTCATTCCGTCATCATTCACTTTCCTTTCATTATCTATGCAATAGTTGCACACGTTCAACTCAAATTTGACATATGGATACATCAAAGGAATACACAGATCAAGTTCGATGATTTTTGACAGAGTTATCCCTCTTGAACTTAGAAAAAAAAGAAGAAGAAATTTTCAGTGTCCACTCTCTAACTTTTGTAGGGATGTATGTAAAAGGTTGAAATTGCATATGCAGGTATTTTACCAGAAAATACAGGTCAAGTTCGAATACAAATTTAAACTAAATAACGGTATGGCTTTTGAAATTTTGGCTGCCTGCGGGGGTATTCATGGCATTACGACACATCTAGTTTTTACTTAAGTATCGAAAACAATGCTAGGTAATCGATAAGCAATACTTGGTTTAAACACTCAAAACTATTAATGAGGTAAAAACATTTCTAGAAAAAAAGCATCTTATCTTGAATATGTATATTGAAAGGTATTCAGTTTTAATTGCTAAATTATAGCATGTGACAAAGGAATAATGAGTGATGCTCTATAGCAGCAACAGCATATATTCGTTTGCATAGGAATCTCTGGTAAGTTTTCCAACTACATGTACCATCAATGGACATGTTCATTGGTTACTTCTGAAAGGTGATACAGTTTATCCCTTCATCTGTAAATATTGACCTCGGATTCATTAGAATACACAACACAGGACAATCTTTAAAAATTTTCCTCTCAAGAATGTAGAACCATATCAGATATGAAAGTGGCCAATTGTAGTATATAAATTTAATGAGATCTTAAGTTAGTCTGGTCCTCAGGTTCTGAAAATCAGGCATTGAATGATTGAAAATGCTCACAAAAATGTCTCTGAATTCTTAAAGTAATGTATATTTAACAACGGTAATTCTTCAAACTTCCTCTTTAAAGTTAATCATATGATATAGGGAAAATTAGTAAATCTCAAATAAATCTTCCGGAAATGTGAATAAAAACACCTACTATGCATTTTCCAATTGAATATTGATCAACAAATATATTTTAGGATAAAAACACTATAGGTATCCAGGCATTTGAAGAAAACTGCATGATTTTTGTTAAATATAGAGTACGAGTTTCCTACTATATCAGAGATACAGGGTGGGGCTTGAGGTAAGAGCGATAGCTCGAGCAGGGCCCCGCCCTGTATCTCCAATACAGTAGGAAACAAGTATTCTAAATGACTTGTGACATGACCTTTCTTATGACCTCATTAATTTACATGTGTATTTAGGTACATATCTCTCTACCAATCAGATGATTTTGTAGAAAGTTGATTAGTACCCCATTTTCAGCAATTAAAAATCCGAGTGAGTTGGACGTGCAGATATCTATCAATTTAAATATTTATAATTATTTAAACAATAAAATGCTTTCTTTGGTTGTTAGTATGGAAATTAATGTCGCAGCTGTTGCAGAAAAAATACATAACCCACATAAGCGGTTTATGTAATTTTTTTTCGGCAATAGCTGCGACGTTAATTCCTATACTAACAACCATAGAATGACATTTTATTGTTTATATCTGTATAAATAATCATTTAAAGTAAGATTAAAAAAGATTAATTATTGTATTATTGATATGCCCCCCCCCCCCCCTCCTCCTCCTTTATAAAATCTATGAATCTGCCACTGGTAACTTTACGTTGTAAAATTCTATTCTTAATTCATCTCAAATTTGGAATAAATACTAACAGCGCTATCATGCGATTTGATTGATTTTTATGTCTGTATCATTTAAGATATGGATTCAGTCTTCTAAAAATAAACTGTATCGTTGATATTTTGCAGATAATGTACAGTGTTTGCTCATTTGCACAAGAAACCCCCACAAAAAGTGTTCTGTATTGCAGTTATTGTACGGTTGACTTCAAAGAAAAACTCGCCGGGTCATGTCACAAATTATTATATGGTACTTCAGTTTCTTCTATATACTTCAATTTTTTATAATGTATAGTGTATAAAGCATTTCCTATCATTGCAAAACATCATAAATCACTGCTAATTTCATGTCTTGCCAATAAACAATGGCATTTAAGACTAGGCTAAAGGAAATTGGATTTCTTTAAATACTGGGTATGTATTTTTTTAAAATACTTTTATTGGGTACAATCCTAGTGACAGGACCTTTCTTTGGATACAAACAACTTTGACTCTTTGATCTTGACCTTGGAGTTTGACCTACTTTTGAAAAACTTTAACCATGGCCATATCTTCTGAATGGCTTTCATATTTCACATGTATATTTCTTGTGAGAAGGCCTTTCCTTGGGCACCATTAATTTTGACCATTTGACCTTGACCTTGTTGTTTGACTTTCTTTTGAAAAACTTTAAACTTTTTCATATCTTTTCAATGGTTGCTGCTAGGGCTTTCATAGTTCACACATATTCCTCGGGACAAGACCTTACCTTGGGTACCAATATATTTGATTTGCATTTGAGAAAGTTTAACCTTAGCTATAAGTTGCCATACGGGGGCATCAGTGTTTCACAAACACATCTTGTTTAATGTTTTGCTGCAGACCAGTAAAGCTATAATCAATAAGCATACATGTACAAGAATCCTCATGATTTGTAGATCTTTAACTTTGTCTGAGTCAAATCGGGCTAAAATGAGGTTTAAATTTTTGCAAAGGAACATAAAGGAATTATTGAATTTATCTTTTTGAATTTTTTTTTATAAGAAACAATAAAGCTTCAATTTCTTATGTCAAGAAAGTTTCATGCAACAATTAAATCACATTTTCTTGTTTATTCTAGCATGATTGTATGGGGGTAATAAAGTTTTGAATATCCCAGTCAAAATGGACCCTCGTCAGTGTTGTGAATCGGTCTGTGAACCAAACACAGTGTCTAGATTTGTGAGAATATTTCCAAAAGCAGCTTTATTTTTTCTTGTTCTCCACATTGTAATAATGATAATTACAGGTAAGACTTATTACATTTCTTCTCCTTACTTCAGCTTTGTGTGATGTGATTCCAGCTCAGATTATATGTCTTGCCAATGTCTATATTTGCTTCTATGCACACTCTGCTACCTTCTATGATCAATAATGCAAGTTGTGTAGGTTATAGATCATCTGAGCATCTTGAGTTGTGTATTTTTAGCTCTACTGGTCAGAGACCAGAAGAGCTTATGCGATAGTAAGGTGTCTGTCGTCCGTCCGTCTAGCTGTCTGTCTGTCCATCTGTCTGTAAACAATTTTTCAAAATACTACTCCTCCTACAGTTTTGGTCTGATTTCAATATAACTTGGCACACAAGTAGACTACACTAAGATACAAAATTTAGTGCATCGGTTTTTGATTTCAATGAACGGTGTTGCCATGGTTACTAAAAATAGAAATTTCTGTGACATTCATTGAAAATGCTACTCCTCCTACAGTTTTGGTCTGATTTCATTATAACTTGGCACACGAGTAGACTACACTAAGATACAAAATTTAGTGCATCGATTTTTGATTTCGATGAACAGTGTTGCCATGGTTACTAAAAATAGAAATTTCTGTGAAATTCCTTTAAAGTGCTACTCCTCCTACAGTTTTGGTCTGATTACAATATAACTTTGCACACAAGTAGACTACACTAAGATACATAATTTAATGCATCTGTTTTTGATTTCAATGAACGGTGTTGCTATGGTTACTAAAAATAGAAATTTCTGTGAAATTCCTTTAAAATGCTACTCCTACAGTTTTGGTCTGATTTCAAAATAACTTGGCACACAAGTAGACTGCACCATCATACATAATTTAGTGCATCAGTTTTTGATTTCAATGAACAGTGTTGCCATGATTACTAAAAATAGTGATTTCTGTGAAATTACTTTAAATTGCTACTCCTGCTACAGTTTTAGTCTGCTTTTAATATAATTTGGCATACAAGAAGACTATACTGAGATACATAATTTAATGCATCAGTTTTTGATTTCAATGAACAGTGTTGCCATGGTTACTAAAAATAGAAATTTCTGTGAAATTCCTCAAAAACACTTCTCCCACAGTTTTGGTCTGATTTTAATATAACTTGGCATACAAGTAAACTACACATACTAAGATACATAATTTAGTGCATCAGTTTTTGATTTCGATGAACGGTGTTGCCATGGTTATTAAAGATAGAGATTTCTGTGAAATTACTTTAAAACACTACTCCTCCTACAGTTTTGGTCTGATTTTAATATAACTTGTCATCCAATAAACTACACATACTAAGATACATAATTTAATGCATCGGTTTTTTATTTCGATGAACAGTGTTGCCATGGTTACTAAAAAAAGAAATTTTTGTGAAATCCCTTTAAAACATTACTCCTCCAACAGTTTTGGTCTTATTTCAATCTATTTGGCACACAATTAGAATACACTACGATACATTATATGCATTTCGGTTTTTGATGTGGTTACTAAAAATAGAAATTTCTTTGAAATACTTTCAAAATGCTACTCCTCCTACAGTTTTCATTTGATTTCAGTATAACTTGGCACAGAAGTAAACTACATTAAGATACATAATTCTATTTATTAATGCATGTTGCAAATCCCAGTAGAGCTACAGTCTCATCAGAGACTTCTGGTTGACATGAGTACCATGAATAAAAAGTAAAATTAAAACTGCAAAGATTTCCATACATTGTGTTTTAGGGGACATTATGTTTGCATGATAGAGGATGCTTGCTGGTATTATTGCTATCAATTGCATGAAATTAGTGGCCATGATTATCTTATGCATGAAAATCCATCATATTTAAACATTATGCTTTGTCATTAAAAAAAAATACAGGACCTCTCACAATTAAATGAACTGAAGTATTGAAATGCCCAATCTGATTAAAATCAGATCTTTGTTACGCTCCGAAATTCTGATGGTCGCTGTACAAAGCGACCATCAGAATTTCGGAGCATAACAAAGATCTGATTTTAATCAGATTGTGAAATGCCTTGATCTGAGCAAAAGTTATAATGCAATATGTTTATAAAACCAGTGAACATCACAGCAATTATGAATAAGTAGACTTTTTTCTTATATTTAAAGCATGTTTAACATACATGTAGCTCTTAATCATGCCTGTACCTTAAGTTTTGTTAAAATGTAAACATAACTAATAGGTGTTGACACATGTACTGGAACTTAATAGTAATCCAGTGAGAAACATTTTGTCACATGTCACTCAAAACTTCAGCTCATTTAATTGTACAGGTTTATGTAAGCAATGCATATATGTATACCTCTATTTAATTCTGCATGAAATTATATCTCATGTATATATTTATTTCAGATTCCAATGTGGTAAACATGAAATTTCTTGTATCCAGGTCTATTACCCCATTACTAACTTCTGGTGTTTCAATTTAACTCTACATGTAAATCCACTCTTGAAGTTAATTTATACTTAATAACATCTCTCATTTCTTTAATGTCTAAAATATACACAATATTAAAACACATTCCATCTCATTTTGTTATCAAACAACCAAATTAGGAATTTTTCTTGCTTATGTACATGCATTTACTTTAAAGGAGTGTGAGTCAAAATCAATTTAAACTTGCAAAAAGTAATGAAAATATTAAATAAAATCCAAATAATTTCAGAGTAAAGAATATACTTGTATGATACATACTTGTACCTTTATATTTGATTTATTCAGTGATAGGCTTTGCTAATCGTAAAGACACCGCACCAGCAGTGATCCTTACACCTCCAGAGGATGACCTTGGGTTTGTGAAACTTCCTCATCAACCAGCTGGAGATAATAAGGTCAGAGGTCAAATGCTTATTTTAAAATCTCAGAATTATTACATGAATGATATTTGTTTTCATAGATTAAACTGATTAATAAACTGACATAAAAATGAGGAAGGAACAAATTTTCAAAATGTTAAAGACACAAAAATCAAATTTTTATTCCCCGCCATGAATATGGCTGGGGCATATAGTGTTTGTCATGTCCATCATCCATCCTTCTGTCTGTCCTTTGTCAGATATTGATGAGAGCTATGCAACTGCATCAACATTTTTTGACCTTGACCTTTCCTTTTTATAAAAATCAATGAAATCAATCAAATTCTGAAAAAGAAATCATTCTTGGGTGAGGCCAAAATAAAGGCCAAAAATTTTTACAGAGGCTAAATTTGAGGCCAGGCCAAAATTTGGTTTGAAACCAAATTAGAGGCCAAAATAGAGGTCAGGCAAACTTAGAGGCCAGGTCAGGCCATAGGGGCCAGGGCAGGTTTTATAGTATGCCTAGCTCTGGAGGTTTGAATATACAATGGGAGTCTGGGGGCATGCCCCTCTGGAAATTTTCAGATGGATGTAGCAAAAATCTGCGAGGGTCATTTCTAGAACTTTTATAAATAAATATATTTTAAATGTTACATGTATGTTTAATCACTAAAATCTCTGTAACTAAAAGGGGAATTTTTATCAGATGAGTGAAATTCTGGACCAATTGTTCCAAAAAAAAAAAAAAGGCAATTGTTCTGGTGCTGTGCAAGGCTTTATATATTCTGTAGGAAAATTTGTTTTCTATTGAAAGAAGTTATTTTTCCTTGCTATTCACCTATGATAATTAATCACTGTAAATAATGTACAGGTAATTGATAAGTCAATGGAATAAAGGAATTACAAAAGAATTTTTTATTGTATAATACAAAAAGTACATGTACATTCATAGTTTTTAATGGTCAAGTAGATTGTGAATAATAGGTAAATAAAATTGAAACAAAATACCTTCTTTCTGCATTAAATATTTTTCAAATACCAAGAGAGGCCATTCTGTCAGGGAATGATGGGGGTATACTAAATGTCCTCAATAAATTTTGTTTTGCTTTTCTGCAAGGCGATAGTGACAAATGAGAATGTATCACATGTAACACTAAGAAGTACTGCAGGCAAATAAATAGATCTACTTTATAATCCCTTACTGAGCACTAGACTCTTCAAAGCCTTTATCCCTGATCATCCTATTCTCTTGCTTTTTGGCAACATATCTTCAACTTTCAGATTATTTTGTTTTATTGGCTCACCTGATCTGATAGCTCAAGTGAGCTTTTCTGATCACATTTTGTCTGGCGTCCATCTGTGTGTCCATCTGTAAACTTTTCACATTTTCGACTTCTCAAGAACCACCAGGTCAATTTTGACCAAACTTGCCACAAAACATCCTTGAGTGAAGATGATTCAAGTTGGTTCAAATAAAGGGCCACACTCTCTTTCAAGGGGAGATAATTAAGAATTACTAAAAATTTAATGTCATCTTTCAAAAATCTTCTCAAGAACCATTAGGCCAGAAAAGTTGAAACTTTTTATGTTAAACCTTCATTACATAGTGTAGATTCAAATTTGTTCAAATCATGACCCCCGGGGGTAGGGTGGGGCCACAATAGGGGGTCAAAATTTTACATAGGAATACATAGAAAAAATTTTTAAAAGTCTTCTTCTCAAGAACAACAAAGCTGTGATCAGTCATATTGATATGGAAGCATCATCAGGTAGTGTAGATTCAAATTTGTTAAAATCGTGACCCCTTGGGGCAGGGTGAGGCCACAATGAGGGATCAAAGTTTTACATAAGAATATATAGGAAAAAGCTTAAAAAATCTTCTTCTCAAGAACAGCAAAGCCATGTTTAGTCATTTTGATAGGGAAGCATCCTCAGAGAGTGTAGATTCAAGTTTATTCAAATCATGACCCCCGGAGGTAGGGTGGGGTCATTATGGGGGATCAAAGTTTTACTTGAGAATATATATAGGAAAAAACTTTTAAAATTTTTTTTTCTCAAGAATAGCAAAGCCATGATTAGTTATTTTGATATGGAAGCATACTCAGGTAGTGTAGATTCAAGTTTGTTCAAATCATGACCACTGGGGGGAGGAATGGGGCCACAACTGGTGATTAAAATTTTACATAGGAATATATAGGAAAAAATCTTCTTCTCAAGAACAGAAAAGCCATGTGTAGTCTAATTGATATGGAAGCATCCTAAGGTAGTGTAGATTCAAGTTTGTCCAAATGATGACCCTTGGGGATAGGGAGGGGCCAAAAGGGGGGATCAAATTTTTGCAAAGGAATATTAACAGGAAAAAATCTGCTGCTCAAGAATAACAAAGCCATTTGTTATACTGATAAGGAAGCACCCTCAGGTAGTTTAAAATCCAAGAACTCCTGAACTTCATGGAGACAAACTGTATAAATGTGAATAATGATTATAGAGTTGTTTCCAAACATTAAATTTTGTCACATTAAGTCCAGAACAGTTCCCGTTTGGCTTGAAGAGATCATTATCTGAGGACTCATGATTCTGTGGTGGATGTTAAGGCCCATGGGCCTCTTGTCACCCTTTTTTTCCAAATAATTTATAGTATGCTGTAATGATTTTGCAGAGTAAGAAAAAAAAGAACAGAGAAGACCAGGAAAAAAGAGTAGATGTTGTGCGATTAGTCGATGATTAATTACAACCTATAGTCTCACGGCTGGGGATTTTTTTATTGTGATTTTTTTTAACCATTAACAAAATGTTATCTGTGTGATTTGTTTGTATGCACCTGTATTGGGTTTGACTTCGTTTCTTTTTTTACCTATTCAGTGACACTTAGAAATATTTGTAAGGAACACATTATCTATCTCTTATTCCCCTTATGTTACATTTATAACTCAATTTCTTCATTTCCTATCTTTTTCCACTTACCTTATTATTATTTTTTTAATATACGTGTATATAAAGAATTGCGTATCATGTTGCTTTAAAAAAATGTATATTTCTGAAAAACCTTGCTGAAAAGAAAATCATGGGCAGACTATTGGTGGAAACCATAAAATCTTTTGTGTTGGGAAAGTGTTTCTTTGTGCACCTATTTTTCTCTTAACATTTTTTTCAAATGCTACCCCTTACTGTTTTAAGAAAATTTCAGTAAATCATTATACACATGAAGAGAACTTGAAGATACAAATAATCCTCATCAGGCCATTCCAATTTTTTTCCTCTGTTTAGTGTCAACCTTTCATTAAAAAAACCTTCTTACCTATTTATAGGAAACACACAAGCCACAAAATAAAACACATACTTTATAGTCATAAAAACAACGTCACCCAGAAGATTTGATATAATCTAGCTTTCTCACAGAAATTTATATCCCTGTGCAAAATCAAGATATTAAATGATAAGTATAATTTGACAGAGTAGCGACAGACATAGAAAGAAATTGGAATTGAAAAAATTTTAACCAAAATGAAATTTCTGGACTATTTTTTGTGTGTGTCTTTTCTGATCTGGGGTGTCAAAAAGTAAGGCACATGTGGAAGTTAAATATTAAAAAAGAACTTGGAATGGCCTAATTAATTTTTTTAAAAAAATGATTTAGGTAGAATAGTTAAACCTATTATTTCGAATTCCACTAAGGTTTTGTTAGATTTAAATAAATCCTGATGAATGTGTAAAACAAAAAAGTCCTGTTAAGCTGTACTTCAATTTTTAATGTTGCTGAAAGATGTTGTCATGGTTACAAAAGAAAGTGTCTTTAATTTCATCCTATTTTAATGTTTATGTTGGAGATATTTGTTTTTGTACAGATTTACATGTATTATAATTTTTTTCTTGCATTTCATATGAAATGATTTTTACTTTGAAACATATCAATCATATTTATTTGGTGTCTCCAGAATGAACATTCTTATTGTGACTTTGCCTTTTTCTTCCTCACCTGAGCCTTAGTGTTTAAGATTTCTTAGAATTAGGTGAGCATTGTGGTCAATTTTCTTGTTTCTTTGTTTTGTACAGGTGTAAAATTTTTGTGGGAATAATTTTATTCATATTAATGTTCAGTATTCAAGCAAGGTGCAATGAAAATAACAGTGCCATAAACTGTATTAATCATTAAAAACAAATAAATCAACAATGTTTTTAAGCATGTTGCACTACATACCGTTGTACTTTATACAGTTGTACTTATATAGTTGTACTATATACAATTGTACTACATACAGTTGAACCTCAATATCTCAGACTCCAGTATATAGAATACCAGAATTATCTGAAACTAATGTACAGCAGTCCTGACTACTGTCATGATTTTAAGTCTCAACTAGTTTTTCTCAACTTAAAATAAGGGTGCAACGATAAACCGTTTGTCGGTATATCGCGGTATATTTTTCCACGGTTCAATTCACGATATGCTAAACTGATACCGCGGTTCGGTTCAATCGGTCCAGAATTATCCGAATCATCCGTTTTGTTTCCTTTTTTACAATTTCAAAATGGCTTCCGCGCAAAACGTGAGGTCGCCGATAACGCATTAATTAACGGAAGTTAAACTCATCTCCAGCATCTTACAGACCTCAGATTTAACACTGAGAAGGATTTAATGTGGTTATATGTTATAGATGTTAAGACAAATGATAAACTCTTTAGATCTAAACGTACTCTTTGGTAATACATGATATTTCACGGTACACGATATTAGTCTTGTTGACTAAAAATATGACAACTGGTTTTCTACGTAAATAAAAGGAATAAAAGAATGAATGACTTCCTTTTTCATTCCAATTTAAAAGGAAGATTATTAGGAAAGGTCCCCGTAGTTCCCCATAAATGTTCATCACTGGTTTAGAATATTGTCAAAACTCAAAGATGTACCCAATAATCCAATTCAAGTTAACAAAATTTTATTTTAATTATTATCAAAAAAATATGAACATTTTATATAACCCTGTCAAGTTAAAGAAAAAATATGGTGACAAACTTGAAAGACTTTTTAGCCTTGTAATGTATCGTGATACGTATCATATCGTGAACTGAATACCGTGATACGTATCGTATCGTGAGGTTAGTGTATCATTGCACCCCTAACTTAAAAAGTTGTTTCACATTTTGTCTTATTCTAGCTATTGAGGTCTAACTGTATATATGTATGTTTGTTTCTTTTTTGATAAAGAAAAATGTTCATTTCAAAGTTTAGAGGCAATTTTTAGTTTTATTGTGACATTTAATACAGTAAAACATGGTTATAGCAAACATGTTTATAATGAATTTATGCTTACAGCGAAATGATTTTCATTCCCCATAGTTTTAAAACATGTTGTGAACTGAACGGATATAATGAATTAATACATTTTTAATGAATGAAAAGCATTGGTCCCTTGCACTTTGCTACAAGCATGTTTTACTGTATTAAAAAGATGTTTGTGGTTTTAAAAAGAAATCCCAATTTTGAGTATTTTTGATTTTTATGCCGTCGGAGCAGATCATTACATAATTAATATGTAATTTTATGTATTAAAATTTATCTCTTATAATCAGTTACATGTATGTCTGTAGCAGCTCTTACCTAGTGAGTATAGGCACTACTTACTGGGTTAATTGTTAATTTTTAGGTGCTTTTAGAATATAGATATTTCAAATATAAGTGCATTTTGAAATATGGCTTAAGAACCCTCTATATACTGCACACTTAAGAGTTCTAATTCCATGATATTTTTGAAGTTATAGTGATTTGCCCTTAGATTTAAATTGATATAAAATGGAATCTAAAGTTTATTACTCAAATTTAATCAATTCAAGGCATTCTAAACATTTCATTTGGCCTAGATGAATTAATCGAATACAATGACAACGACATTTTTCTGAACATCACATCAACATCTGTTTTTGTTAATGTTTACGTTTCACCGGGTGTGTTCAATTGTTAAACTCTGCACACATCACTGAGCACGGACTGACTATACTGGTGAGTTGGTTTTGTTTTTTCACATTTCTACTCTGAATTTTCTGGATTATAGTTATAATATTTTTTATTAATACACAACAAAATTTCTTTTCTTAAGCATGATAAAGTTCACTTTGTGAAAGTGCAAGGATGTGTCAGTCAAACGCATCCCAAAATCTGTAGTTTCAATAATTTCCAGATAAAAGATGTTTCTGAACATGCTTTTTATTATTTTTTCATGTGAAATGCTATAGCAACATATAAGTTATGATATTTTACAGAAAAATTGAGAAAATATTAACTTCAAATCTGTGTCCATACCCCTTTAAGTAAGCAACAGTGATTTCAGTTCACAAACACTTTATTGTCTTTGAATATTTTTCTTTGGGGTACATGGCGGGTATCCTATGTTGAAAATTAAATGGATAAGCTCCATATATACATCTTTAAAAATTTCTTCAGCGTCCAAAAAAAATTTTTCATTGGTGTATAGAGGGTCCTTAAGCCTAGGTCTTGGAAACCTAAATGTAACTCTGTAACTGTAAATCATTCATAGTTATGGTGGATATTTTTATTAAAAAGTTTTCATATATACAAGTACTTTGCGCTGTTTATTTTACACATGACCATTTAAATTACTCACCTGGTTTAGCATTGAATAAAAAAATGCTATAGAAGTATGATGAAGCATCAATTTGCAAATATGATTTTCCTTAATGAGCCATATTGTGCTACAGTAAAATTTGTTTAATCTTGATTGTGTGTATTCTGAAATCTAGCTTATAATGATGAAAACTTTAGTGATTTTCAGTACATTAGTTGTTTCAAATATGTAATCTGATATCTTGTCTAATCTGGCAAACTTTTGTGGAACCAGTGGTGTCCGGATAAGACAAGTTTTACCTCAGTCTATATAAGGAAGCTTGACTTTCAGTATCTTCACAAAGAGTAAAAAAGTGATAAAAAACAGTAATCGATCTCAAAAAAAAAACCCTGCAAACTATACAAATCTGCGATTAGGGCATAAAATACGGACCCCGGTAAATCCCGAGGTGGGATCAGGTGCCTAAGAGGAGTAAGCATCCCCTGTCGACTGGTCATACCCATCGTGAGCCCTACATATTGATCAGGCAGATAGAAAATTTCGTAGTCAAATTTAGCAGGAAAAGAAAGGCCTACCAATATTGGTATGAAGCATGTCAGTCAAAATACGACCCAATGATAAGTTATATATGTATTTGCTAATGACTGTAGAATTTAGGAAATGCTAAATTTAAACGAGGTTTTTGAAATCACTGAAACATTAACTTATCTGTCAGTAGCCTGCCTCGGTTTAAGAATTGATCGTACTCGAAGCATGCTCAAGTTGGAAGACAAACTTTAAGCGTTTTGAAGTGGATTTTTAAAAACTAAATACTTCGGAATGGTTTCGTACTTTTTTCAAACAAACAATCATGATTTTTATACAGTTTGAAAACTACTTGATTTAAGGTGCAAGTAAGCCAACAAGATGATTGCGATTGGTAATAGTAGATCTGTATATTTTTTTCTTTGGAAAAAGGGTGGGGTTCGCAAGCAATCCAACCCACCCCCAACCCTATAATGCTGTTTTTATAAAATAGGGATAAAATTGTGTGTATTAAAAGGAACCAGAAAGTTTCGCTAGCTCCTACTCAAGTCGAAGGAAGGTATGATAAATCATCATATTCTTTGAGTACCATCGTTTTTTACCTTAATCTTGGAGTTTGACCCAGTTTTACAACATTGTACCCAACGTTAACCTTGGCCATAACTTTTGAACAGTTGCTTCTAGGGCTTTCATACTTCACATGTGTATTCCTTGTGACAAGACCTTCCTTTGGATACCAACAACCTTGACCTTGGAGTTTGACCTGCTTTTGCAAAACTTTAACCTTGGTCATTACTTTTGAGCAGTTGGTGCTAGGACTACCATACTTCACATATGTAATTCTTTTGAAAAGACCTTTCTTTGGATAACAATAACTTTGTCTCCTTGACCTTACCTTGGAGTTTGACCTTCTTTTGAAAAACTTTA